TACTTTTAGTAAAGATGAGATGCATTTGAGGGTAATGATTAGGTATGAATGCTCTAGGTAAGAACTGTTGTCAATATAACAATGTTTTATTCAAATGTCAGAACATTTGAATAAAAATAAGTTGTATTCAAATGTCAAAACGTGTAGTATCGATTCATCTTCTAATATGTATGTGGGGCACTCGTACAGCAGTGCTTTTTCAAAATGCACGAAAATCACTCTGAAGTTTGACATTTATGAAGAAAAAAATATGTATGATATTTTTGCCATTAAACCAATCATTACACTTTGGTAGTTTAGAACAATGACAATCACCTTAAGTTCTGTGTTGGCTGTGTTGGTCGTCATCGCACATCCTGACGATGAAACTATGTTCAGTGGCTTCATTCATGCTCTTACGCATAAACTCAATGCTTCTGTTGATCTGGTGTGTGTCACGAATGGCGAAGGTGGTTTTACATATGCGGAACTGTCTGAATCCCTCTATGGAAATCTGAAATTATCAAATGAAACTATTGGCAGAAAACATCTGCCACGTATACGCCAACAAGAATTATTTAATAGTGGACGAATATTAGGTATTAGAAAATATTTCTTTTATGATCAAATCGATTTGGAATACAGCCGAGATGTCAATACAGTCTTCGAGAAACAATGGGATAAACAATGGGTCATTGAACAATTCCAACAAACAATTAAGAATGGAAATGGTGCTGATGGCTATGATTTAATGGTTATTGAGCTTCCAAATGTGAATTCGCATGGTCATCATACAGCATCAGGCCTGCTTGCACTCGAAGCTATCAATCGTTTACAACGAAAGAAGTCAGTTAACATGTCCATACCAACAGTTATTGGTGGATCGGAATTTGTTTTTACTCAATCGCCAACGTACGCTGAAGATCGACTAGCTGAAATTTTAACAAACATAACGACATTCGAATTTCGTTTCAACTTGAAATGGAAAATAAGTAAATCGATGATAGTTAACTATAAAACAATTCGCTGTTGGGTAGCTGCTGAACATAAGTCTCAAGGCAATCTCATAGATCAAGTAGTATTCGAATCCAATCGTACTGAGGAACAATATTTTTATTTTGCTATTAATGAACGATACGGTGGTCATGGACGTCTCTCAATGATGCGGAATCTATTCACTCAACTTGCTAACATACATCAAAGCGACAACGAAAATTAGTTTCAGTAACCAGTTCAATAATTCAACACGAAAACAATGCTTTTATCTAAGTGGTACAGTTGCAATGCTACTCACGACAGAGACCTGTAATTCAGAAAATATCAGCTTCACGTATAATTTGTCCGTTGTATTGTCTATAATCCAGGAGGATCAATCTCGCAGTCAGATTCGATTGAATCCCGATGGGATCCTACTAGATCTCATCAGGATCCTGCAGAAAGATTGCCGGAAATCGAGTCACAGAATGACATTCGAATGCTAGTATCGGAAATAGGTAGGGTCCATTTGTTGAAGTCTGATCAGATCCTAGCGTAGGAAATCGATCGGATTCTACAGTCGAAATCTCATCGGATCTTAGTGTTGCAATTCGATGAGATCCTACAGTAGAATATCGTTAGATGTTGACAGATCTCATGAACATTGGCCACGGCTTGAGTGTGGGTGAGGGTGTGGGTATGGATGCGGGTGTGGGTGTAGGTGGGGCAAGAGGGAAAAAACGGATTCCGTGTATCGGGGATACGGTGGCGATACGTACGATACACACGGTACGGTAGCGATACAGCCGATACCTTCACGATACGTACGATACGCGAAATACATCGCAGATATTAAGGATACGACTTAATTCAACCGAAAAATTCGAAGTATATACGATGTATCTATGAAAGTACTCTTAGGTACTCATGTCCTATTATTTGAAGACACCCTTAAGTCCTCATGTCCTATTATATGAAGGTACTCTTGGGTCCTCATGTCCTATTATTGAGGGCTGGCCACTGAACTTTCTTTTGGAACCTTTACTATAGTTCCGAAACTATATTAAAACTATTTCTTTCTCGTTTTAACAGCTTCTTCATCCGACCTATGAAAGAACCACCGTTACTTCCGCCCACAACCTCATCACCAACATCCACCATCACTCGTACCCATACATCCTAATCCTCAATCTCGACCACTCATCCTCACCCTCATCATCAAGATCCACTCTCGCCGTCAACTGCAGACCATCACATTCATCCTCACCCTCAACTCAGCACATTTATCCTCACTCTCGCCCTTAAAAAGCTATTAAAGCAAAGAAAAAAAGTTCCAATAGTTCCGAAACTATGGTAAAGGTTCCAAAAGAAAGTTCCATGAGCAGTTCTGAAGTTTCGACATGGGCTCTTATTGCCATGAATGTTTTTTCATGCTGCCGTTAAGATTCAATTAGCATACACGTACAAAAGGGTCTTAAAACCAATAAGTCAAAGTTGTCATGTTTCTCGGAGAACTGTAGAAGTAGTTATGGCGCTTTCGTAGAAATCATTAGGTGGTTACCAGTTCGTTTCGAACCGCGCACTATTGCATCGGCAATCTAGTGCGTTCTGTACACTGCGTTTTCCATTCAGCTATCCATCTTCCCTGAATATTTGCGGGATCTAGCGATAGACACAGAAAATGACGGCTAAAAACAATGTGTTCATGCGGAACCAATCGAAAGAAAGGGATTAAAAAGAAGTTTCTATTAGACCTTTACCGAGATAGTTCTGTCGGACGACTTTAACAGGGCAGCCTATGCATAGTTCCAACACCAAGAAAGAGATATATCTTACTTATTGAGACAAAAATATGCAATGCTTCGTTGATTTTACAGTTAGGGTCTCCCATTTTGGAAAGATAGATAGTTCAGACTCCTGAGTGTTATAATAGTTCAAATTGTATCATCCCACATTGGCATTGGTTTTTAAGTTTGATGAACTCTTACATAATTCATACCAATTATAAGCAGCTTCTTAAGAAATCCTATTTTTCAGCGAAAGATCTATGCATTTTGCTGCAAAAATTAATATTAAATTTTCATCGTTTCGTTTTTGAGCTGCACATAATTCCCTCACAAGAAAAGCTCTAACAGAACGGTATTATTCCATATGTAAAACCTTTTCAATACTTTCTTAGACAAGTATGCTTTATTAATACGGATTGGTATATATTTTCCAACACTTGAAAGACGTTAATTTTTCTATTGGTAAAAAATATATAGAAGGCAAAGAACCTAAGACACATAAACCGACCTACAATTAAACAGTGAGAACTAATGAGCTTACTTATCAAGTCTCTGAACTGCTGGTTCTGTGCTCATTTTGGATAGCTGGGCTTATAATGTGTTTGGATCGTTATAACCTTTCGGTGGGCTTCTACTATCTGATGGACATCCATTCTGTGGAGTGGTTTTAATAGGACATGAGGACTTAAGGGAACCTTCATATAATAGAAAATGAGGACCCAAGGGTACCTCCAAATAATAGCACATGAGTACCCAAGGCTACCGTCATACAATAGGATATAAGAACCCAATGGTACCTCCAAATAAGAGGACATGAGGACCTAAGGACCTAAGCATGCCTTCGTATAATAGGATATGAGGACCCAAGGGTACCTTCAAATAATAGGACATGAGAGTCAAAGGGTGCCTCCAAATAATAGGATATGGGATCCAAGGGTACCTTCAAATAATAGGACATGAGGGCTCAAGGGTGCCGTCAAATAATAGGACATGAATTCACTCACAATAAAGTGGGCGTGTATAAGGTACCACGATAACCTATATATAGATTAGATTATTTCAAATGTTTCTAACTCAAATTCTTATCAAGTGGCCTCAGTACGAGTTTAGTTGATCCAAAGAAAATTTTTTGAATCGATACGTGATACCTGAAAATCTACTAAATGAAAACCGAAGTTTTTAGTAGATACACGTCCAATAGAGTGGGTGTGTATTTTTGTGATAGTATCAACCATGCAGATAAATAGCTAGGAACACCGGTGTCAATAAGTGTGGGTGTGAGTGTGAGTGTGGGTGTGGGTGTGGGTGGGGTGTGGGTGGGTGTGAGTGTGGGTGTGGGTGTGGGTGTGGTGGGGGTGTGGGTGTGGGTGTGGTTAAAGAATGTACCTACACCACACCCCGCGCCCACCCACACCCATATCCACGCTCCACACCTCACATCCACACCCACACCCACACCCACACCCACACCCACCCACACACCCACTCACACCCAAACCCACACCCACACCCTCTATAAATGAACTTAAATAAGTTTTCGAGGAAATCCATTGAAATCATGTAGTCTTTTCTGATGATGATTCTGAATTTTTCCCAAAAAATGTTTTTCTGATCATGATTGGGAATTATATCCAACAGTAAATTTTTGATTTCTGATAATGTCTCAGAAATATATAGTATGCGTAAATTTCTCATTTCTAATTTCTGGTCGTGTCTTAGAAATGTGTAATATGAGTAAATTTCTGATTTCTACAAAAAAACCAAAAACAGAAATCAGCAATCAAAGATTTAGTAAAAACTGGTAATAATTTGAGATTTGCCACAGTCTCTAGATAAAGCCATTTAATTTGCACGTAAAAACACCTTTTTGTATATTTTATAGTTTACGATGTCAAAGAGAACAGTCAACAATCTAGTTTAGATTATAAAAATTGGAAATATGTAATAAGTGATTTACTTCTCAGGGCTAAATTTTTGCATTTTGAAACAGCGATATTCATGATCAACACACTCTATTTAATAGTCCTTGTTACTTTTAAAAACAAAATTTTTTCATAACCCTAATGGTTAGAAGAGTTGTAAAGAGATCTAAAACCTCAAAGTCATTTCAAACGACATGATTATGCCAGATATGTGGGCCATATTAAATTTCTTATTCTGTTATATTTATTTCTTGTAAATATTTTGAGTCGTAAGCCTGCCTTAGCACAACTCATTTTTTATTAAGTCAAGAAAAATAAGTAAAAAACAAAAAAAAAAATATATATATATATATCAACAATCACTATATATGTCATGTACAATATGAAATTTATCATTAATAGATTCGTTAGTATCAGTGACATACAATCGTTTCACTTTTAACCAACAATTTACGATATTTTCATCAAGTTTTTGTATGTTACATCGAATAGATATGATCATATAGCCAGCTAATATGAGACTAAATTCTAATATCATAATTATTAAGATATCACTTGTAAAATTTATAGAAAAGATTATAATTGACATGATACATATTATTACGAATGGAGCTATTGGAAGATCGTAAAGTACAAATGGTAATAACATATCATATAATGCCGATAATATAGCAACACATTTTCCAAATTCTATAGAATAATCATAGTTTGCACATAATTTAATTTTTGGAAATTGTTCGAATATCGGATAGTGAATTATTACTTTAGGACATTTCACATTAATATATTCATATATTGAAGATTTATTTGAATTAAATGCATCGAATTGAACATTGACCTTATGTTTTTCTTCTGAACGACCAATATGAACGCCAATAGGTAAAATAGCCAATAACAAAAGAAATGAGTTGAAATAAGCAAAAACCAAATATGTACGTATTGTAAATGATTTGGTCATCTTCGATTATTGATGTGAACTAGTCCAAACGTAAATGTGTTTGAGAATGAAATACTCTAAGCTACAATGACTATTATATACATAAAGAAAATACAATGACTATTATATAGATAAAGAAAACCGCCGTTCAACTCATATTCAATGTAATCTCTAAAATATGAAAGAGGGCGTTGCATAATTGTCAATTTAATCCACATATGCTTATGTTTATCACCGTTCGAAAAAAAATAAAAAATAAAACTAAATACAGAAATGTTTGGATTATACTGATATTAATATCATATAATTCGATTGATATTATAAATAATAAAATATTATTTATAAAATAAATAAACAGCAATTGTTTCAATATTTTTTTTTCTCAAAATATACTATCAATTAATAGTTTTTAATTTATTATAAATAAATAAATATATTTACTGGCATTTCATTTTTATTTACTAAATTGAAAATTGAAAAAAAAATGCTATCTTGTGATTGAAAACAATTTTTCTATCAAGAAATTATATAATAAAATCCATTAATTATCATGAATGATAATTTCTTTTTTTTTAATTCATATAGATAATATAAAATA